AAATTAATCACCGATGTGTTTTGAGAATATATAGGCATGCTAATAGAATACACACATTTTAGTGTTGTATATTGCAATAGACACTACGTATAGTACAAATTGTGATCATCGACCCAAAGCAATTTTGGTGGTCTTAATCATTATAGAAGAAGTGTAATAGTCATATGCAGAGCAGCCTTATTGTTTGATGATGAGACTGTTGATCGAATGCTTTAAGTTGCTATATTAGACACTTTCTTGAATGCACGACTAAAATTGTGTTTGCATACCAAAATCAAGCTATAGCATGAACTTTAATTTGTGAGGCTCTCCTTGATTCAAAACGGAGTCTGCGCACTTGCCATTTAAACACAATGACATTAAGCACTTTGAAAACTTGATTTAAGATCGATATGGATCATATTTTTTGACTAAGTTTTGCAAACGCATGCCTGATTATTGAAAAGAAATGGTTGATAAATGAAATCCACGTATGATATTGGATGATATTACGGAGACTGAATATATGTCTACGGTATAACCCGTAAGGCTGTAACTATTATCTGTAAAAAAAAGTTAGTTAATTCTAATAATTATGTTTGAAATTAAAACATTTGGACTAAAATGTCCTTATAATTAATGTTTACTTCTCCATCTGATTTAATAATACAATCCATTTATGAGGGATAATTTGAGAAAAATGTAATTAATGCTTTTTAAAATTTGTAATTTTTAGGGTAGTTTCTCTTACATTTGAAAATGGAGAAAGTTTTTTAATTTTTTTTTCATTGATTACCTTACCTTGATCACCAACTAAACAACTGAAATCGTAAATTATTTTTTAAATCAAATTTACAGATCAAACTCATTTAAATTATTTTTAAGAAAAAAGAAATTAACTAATTAATATATTTTTTATAATATATACTTAAAACAAAAGAAAATAATTATTTATAATTATAAAAACACAAATTTCAAATTACAGAAAAATAAGATATAATAAAGACGACTATATTCCTTAATATTTCATCTTTTTCATTCAAGACTTTTATAGTTATCTGTTATTTCATAAGTCAATATTTATTATTTTAGAATACATATATATATATAAACATATGAATTATATCATGTCAAAATTGATTACAAATTAAAAATTACTCATTTATTTAATTTATAAGTCACTTTCAACATATTTTATCAGAATTAAAAAAATTTAAAAAATTTATTAAATCTGTCTAAAATTTCAATAAGCTTTTAATTTGTCCCTATTAAATATACATGTTTTAATGAGGGGTAATGGGGCAAATTTCTGATAAAATTTGAAGGTGTGAGATGTATGTGACTTATAAATTAGAGCAAAAAAATCTTCTTACTTTGTCTTTCAATTAGGACTGGAGATAGTAAATAAAAATTACTGACCAGTTTGACTGCTTCCAACCACTTGTTTAAGCCTAGTTCATCAGTTGATTTTCTAGCCTTATGGTTTCATTCCCGGCCTAATATCTGGACCGGATACTGAACCAATTCTAGATCAAACCAATCAGTCCAATCATTCCCAAGGCGATGCTATTATGCATTGGTTCTATGCTCTAGATCATAGAATATGAGAATGGAGATTTCATCCTTTATTCAAACCTTTCTAATTAAAATTAAATTGTTCAATCAAATTTAATATAAAAATGTAAAAATAAAGATAATGTTCTATAATGTAAACATATCAGCCATTCAAATTAAAAGTTAGATGATTCAAATGTCCTATCGTGAGCTACCGGTCTCATCCTCAAGTAGTTTTCAAGGCTTAAAAGAAATTGAGACAGAAGGGGAAACAAATTATTTGTCTCTTTTTGGAGAAAGGGACAGAATATATATTTTCATTCATAGTAAATCAATTGCAATTTTAAAACTATATATAAATGATGCATGTATTTATAAAAGAATATAATCTCTTGATATAGTTTAAGTAAGATTTTTCCCCCCTTTTTTGCTGGCCAGAGACCAGAGTTTCCATTTGTTTGATGCATTATAATATAGAGGGACTATTATAATCAAGAACTTTGTAATCTAGGAGAGGCCTAAATTTAAATAAACTAAACTAGGGGCCAAAATTGATTTTTTTCATTTTTTTGGCTAAAGTACACTTTCAATTCTTTAATTTTATATAATGTTTCATTTAAATCTTTTAATTTTATCATATGTCAACTGAATTTGTTTATTCATGCAATTTTTGGTGCGAGCATGAAATAGTTTTCAAACATAAATGAAATGTAGATGGGAAGAGAGACAGAATCTGGGCATAATAGTTTCGGTTCAAAATTATTATACATGAAATGAAATGCACGATAAAATTCAATTATATCTTTATTCTCATGAAAATGTATAATAGTATTTCCCTTTAACCTTTAACCTCATATCAATGATGAATTAAATTAGAAAGAGATTGGGAATGATGAGTAAACACAAAAAACCAGTTAATAAATACAATGGGTAAAATGAAAAAAAATAATTTCTACAAAGTTGCTTATATTTTCTACGAAGATTATATTAGTTGGGAAAAAACAGCTTATAATTTTGCACAGGATATTTTACTTGTAGGTTTTTTTCAAATCATGTATATGTTAGTGAAATAAATACAAATGTCAATTGCTAGTTATCCTAGATGCTACCTCCCTTCCTTGAAAGAAGTTATGGATTTGAACACAGTGCTGACATATTTATGTGAAGCGTGAGTGTGTGTCTCTCTTTTTTATATGGGGAAGGGCTAAGAAAAGTTTTAGAAGAAAATGAAAAAATGAAAATCATAACAAACAAAAAAAAACACATCCCATATTTAATGATAAGCCACATTGAAAAATTTGTTTCGATGGCAAGCTTTCATGCATGGTATAATTGACTGAAAACTTCGGAGGAGGAAATTTATAACCACTTGATAAGTGGGTATTTTAGATAGATTAGATATATATATATATATATATTACCCTTTTATTCACTAAATAATGCATAAAATAAGTTAAATAAAGATAAAAGGTCTCAGTATTTTTTCTGTATTTTTAGGAAAAGGGGACAAAATAACTTGAAAAAAGACTTAAAACACGATGCCTGGAGTCAAAGCCTAAGAAGCAGGTCCAAAAGCAGTGTCCGTTCTTGTACAAAATTATTATAGAAGCTCACCTTGCACAGAGGTAACTCACAATGAAGACCTTGAGCATCTCTAGCTGCCACTATCGGGCGTATACAACGCAATACAAATATTCACCGCTCACGGACGTTGCCAAGTTAATTTCGATATTCGATCACGCAAAAATAGCCAAACGAACAAGCACTCTTTGCTATTCTCCTACGACATAAATCAACTGGGCCTTACTACGCGCAGACATGAAGCCCAAAACATGTGTCAAGTTGAAATTTAATATTTAAATAGATTTTAAATCAGATACAAGCAAATCAAATAAGATTGGGTGTGATCTGTTCCATAAGCCTTCCAACTCATCCAATCTCATATTGAAGGCTAAGATGCATATTATGAACTCTGAAGGAGTTGTCCCGAGTTAGGAGCTTTCTCTCTTTTTTTTCTTTAGATTTTGTTTATGTTTTTATTTGGGATTTTTAGCTTAAACTTTATGAGCTATTTCTGAACTTTCAGTTAAGGTAGGGAGTAACTTGACTAAGATAGATTTTTGCTTTTTTGTTTGGTTTTGTTTATTTTTCCCCTTGAACTTAATTTCTTATCTATGAGAATTTAATGTTTATATTTATATTTATCTCTCTTATTTTAATTACTTTTTATATAAAACGACTGTCATATAATATATTGAGAGATAATTAGATACCTTAAAAACAATTGTCACTATAAAGAAAGAGAAGACAATTAACTAAATTATAGTAAATCATTCCAATAAATAAATCTTGATTCCCAGTGCTTGTCCGAATGATTGGTTCATCTAAGAATTATTACCATATTGATCTCGTCCCACCACTTCTTAGTCATCACAAAGCACAATAATGAAAAAAATCAAATTATAGAATAGATGTTGACCAATGAATTTGATTTTCAATGACAAAAGGTAAACCTGGTTGACTGATGGATTCGGTTCTTTTTGAAAAACAATTGTGAATATAATGTTCAGACTTCAGAGTATTCTTCCTAGGTGAGTTAAAAAAAAAAAATGGAAGTACCAGTCACTTCTTTGTGGGTATTGACAGTTCAGAACTTTGTGATTGTCATTTTGCAAATGCATCATTATCTTCTTTATAACTTGTAAGGGACCTATGTCATTTCCTCGTTTTTTTCCTAGACCAGAGACCAGAGTTTCCATTTGTTTGATGCATTATTATAATCAAGAACTTTATAATTTGGGAGAGGCTGAAATTTAAAATAAACTAAACTATTGGCCAAAATTAATTTTATCATTTTTTTGGCTAAATTGCATCTTTAATTCTTTAATTTTATATAACTTTTCATTTTAATCTTTCAATTTTATCATATGTCAGCTAAATTCGTTTATTAATGCAATTTTTTGTGCGAGCATGAAGTAGTTTTCAAACATTAATGAGATGCAGATAGGAGGAGATCAGAGGCAAAATCTGTTGGTATCCAACGGACTATAATAATAAATAGAAAATTGGTCATTTAGTCCTATAGTTTTTACATAGTTATTGCCTAGTCCTTAAATTTTAATTTAGGGCAACCCGGTCCTTTTTATTTTAACCATTTAAAATATTAGTCTTTATATTTTAAAAAATAAAATTAATCATAAGGACTAAAGTTTTTTTTAGGGACTGAATGTTTTAATTAAATAGTTTAAATTATAAGGATTGAATTGCACTAAACTAAAATTCAAAAATCAAATTACAATCAGGTTAAAATTATAGGGATAAAATAATCAATTTTCTTTTAAATTTCTTATTTAGAAAATGGCATGAATTTTCATGACAGGGCAAATTTTATCATACGTCAACTAAATTCGTTTATTCATACAAGTTTTGGCGCGGGCGTCAAATAGTTTTCAAACATAAATGAAATGTAGCTAGGAAGAGAGAGACAATATGTTGGCATTCATTCAGATAAATAATTATGTGTCCCACCGTTTGGTGAGAATGACAGAGTTTTACATTGAAGATAATGAAACTGTCCAACGAAGCATTTAATACAGTTATGTTTCTCAAATTTGAACTCAAAATTTTTAGTTAAATTAGTACAGACTTCCACCAGTTGAACTAAACACTTTGTAATTTAATTAGTCTTAACAAGTCTTTCAAGACAACGCAAGCGCATCCTGAGAAAAACTCACCAGTGCTTTTGCAGTGATTAATGAGGAAGAGAGTGAGGAGATAGGGTCTTCATTTTCACCATTTGTGGAGTCCGCTTTTAGAGCTCTCCATCACAAAACAGTGAAACAAACACTGCTTTTTCTACAGTCTGAATAAATAATAAAGTATCCTCTGCCCCACAAAATTCCACTGTCAAAATCCTTGCTTCACCTCAACCATTGCTGCATGATATTCAACGTGGACCATCTTAGTCCAGGCGTTTGTGTTTGCGTGTTCCCTATTCAGCAATGTCAATGCCCAAAATATTAATGGCAATAGCTCATGTTATCAGGTTCTTGCAATTTGTTTCCCCAGGCAGCTCCTTCATCCTTATTATCTCATCCCGGTCCTTTGAAAACAATTAATGAGCACCATTTGTCCAGCCTCAGCCTGAGGTGAAATTGATTGCTCTCATTTCGTACATGAAATGGATCCAAAATGAGGAAAAATCCCAAAAGATAATGAATAAATGACTTACTGATAACTGAATATTTTTTCTTCACCTAATGACCCTAAAGTAGTGTCTCGTTTTTCAGATCATGTATGTATGTATGTATGTATGTATGTATGTATGTTCAAGTCCCATGAATAACGCGATTGGATTCCAATAATGCAAATTGAAAATATCATAATTAGCTCAATAAGGAAGGGATACAAAAACAGAATAAATTAAACAACAGATTCACATCTAATGCTATTGAACACCGCTCTTGAGCCACTTTTATTGTGAAAATGAAACACATACGGAGTCTATATCATATTTAATAGATTGGCCAATTTTTGAAAGGGATTGCAAAATGAAATGAAAATATATTATGTTAAAGTCTCACACAATAAATCTAAATAAAAAAATCCTATAAAATCATAAAATTACTTTGACATCTCATGCTTTTACTGAAGTTATCAATTATTGTTGGATAGCTGTTAATTCTTAATAATTCACAACTTCAATTTAATAAATTGATTCAGTAAAGCACATGAGACTTTAAAGTATAATTTGGTGATTTTGTGAGGCTTTTTTATATTTAGATTTCTTGTAGTGTGGGATTTTAGATGATGATTTTTCTAAAATGAAATCGTCTATTTGAAGAACTCCATAACCCAATAGTTACGAGCAAAGCATTCAAATCTAATGCCTTGAAACCCAACTGATGTAGCTAATCCCATGAACTCTTGCTCGCTTCTCTCTTTGCCTCCTGGGCACTGAGTCAGCATATGCACATCAGATTGGGAGATGCACTTGGTAGCAGCAGAAGTATCTGCCATGACGCCAAAAATTGCCTCCACCACAATCACCTTTCCATCTTTTGGGATCGCATCGTAGCAGTTCTTCAATAGTTTCATGCACCATTCATCACTCCAATCATGAAGCATCCACTGCAAAATTCACCTCAACATGCATTAGAACCTCTCGTGATCACTGATTGGAATAATATTATATTTATCTATCTTGGAATATAGCCTACCTTCAGCAAGACGGCATCTCCCTTAGGCACACTTTCAAACATATCACCTCCAACATGTTCCACTCCTGCAAATAAAAGGGAATTTCATGTTTGGAGCTTTTTTGCATTAACATCATACGTAGTAACTCAATTCTTATAATTCTGATAACTGAAACACTAAATTTTGACTCAATACAACTAAGTTTGTATAAGTTTTTGTAATTTAAAATACTGGTCCCATATTTTAGAAAATATAATTTTTTTGAATCTAAATCTTTATAATCTTTTTAAAGTTTGAAAGTTTTAGTAATGTAAAATATTGGTTCTAAATTTTAAAATAATTTCAATTTTTATGATTTGATTTTCTAAAAATAGGAATTGAGCTTCATTGAATCAAATATTATGACCGAATTACAACAGAATCAAAATTATAAAAACTAAGTTACAACTAAATCAAAATTGCAATGAGTAAATAATTAATTTTTTCAAAAGTCTACCCAAACTTTTCAAGAAAATTAATTATTTACCCAAAATTTGAAGTTTAATTAAGAAGGGAAGCTCGTACATACTAGGAAAAGGAGGAGCATGTCGAATGACATGAGGCAAATCGAAATTGATTCCTTGAATATGAGGATGTTTAGAAGTGATCAAGGAGAGAGTAATCCCAAGACCACCACCAACATCGACAAGTAGAGTGATGTCTTCAAAGCCCTTGTAGAATTCAAGAATCTTGGTCATAATTAAAGTGGTTGCGTTAGCTATTGCTTTGTTAAATGCATCGTTGAACCTCGAATCTGATCCTGGATACTCAAATACATGCGAGCCATGGACCCTGTTGAAGGCAATACCACCTTCCAATATTGCTTCCTTCATCTGCGACCTAACAACATGAGGGCATGATTACATCATAAGAACTTGGCATTATTAAATAACTCAACTTAAATAAAAGTTTGTTTAATAAGCTCCCATCTCTAAGAACATATACAGCGTTATGTATAAATCACTCATCAATAAAACTTTATATCGGCAGCAAAATTATCGTATCTTATCCAAGGAATCCATCTTTACTTTAAAGTAATTTTAAATTTAATCTTTTATTACAAATATTTTCCAATTAATATATCATAATTTTTCCTTGTAGCAAACCCTCTTATTAACATTCTTTCATGTATGTTTATTAATTTTTTTCCTTATTTTTTTATTCTTTTATACTAGTACATATTTTCTTATTGGAAATCATTATCAAAATATATCTCTTGGTCCAAAATAGAATATCATTTGTCCCGAATTAATCTTGGTTCAAAAAATAAATAACTTAGTATTTGTAGATTTTTTTTTTCTCATTTTACACCCATTGTATGTATTAATTTGAATACTGTATCTATTGTGAATTTATGATTTTCTTTTCACCCATCTTAAATTGAAACCAAAGATGAAAAATAAAAACAATATATATTTTTATCAGAAAAAGAATTTATTAACATGCATGTGATTATTAAAAATTGCTTATATTTTTAGGTGGGAAGGAGCATATAACAAGGAATCAATTTCTGTGGTATTTTTATCAGAAAAAGAATTTTATTAACATGCATGTGATTATTAAAAATTGCTTATATTTTTAGGTGGGAAGGAGCATATAACAAGGAATCAATTTCTGTGGTGTGAAAGAGAGAATAGACTAACCAACTATCAAGGAGGACCTTATCATGGTATAATGCAATCATAGGGCCCAACGACACCCCGTCAGCATCTCGCGCAAAGAATTTGGCCACCGGAGCAAGGCTGTACAACCGCCGGAAACATCCCGGTCTTCCTTGATTTTCATCGGCGATAACGGAACAGTAAAGAACAGAGTGAGATGCTAGAAGTCGGAGAAGACGATCGACCGCGGAAGGCGCTTCAGTGTTCTTGCAAGATAGTTGTGACGTGATCTCGGCGGCAGAAAGCTTAGCGTCGGGACCGGCTCTGCGAATGATGTCGAAAATGCCAAGCTCGGCCACCGTTTGCACTGCCATGGACATCACAGAAGAGGTCGCGAGCTGCATGGCGTAAGAAAAGCTCTCTTCATCTTGCTCGTCTCTTTCTAGTGGTTGCTTTTTCTGTGGTTGATTGTCGAGAGGCTTGGATTGGGAACGATAATCCTGTGACTGTGAGTGCGCCATTAATAGGAGTAGAAGATTGAGAAGAAGAATGGATGGTGACTTATATGTGTGCATGATTCAAGAAGTAACATGCACATTTATAGAACTTTGTTCAAAGAAAGAAGTCGATACTTTTCATCTTTTAACTTTTGCATAAAATTTTAATTTGAATTCTTAATTTTATATTTAATCTCCTGAACATCAATTAAATTATTAAAAACGCTTACAAAGTTAGTATTTTAAAATGCTGATAAAACAATCATAAATTGAAGGTTTGAGATATGAATTTTAAAAATAAAAATAATTAGATTTAAAAATTAGCATTTTGATAATACTTGCTAACATATTAAAATTGTTGTGTCAATATTTTCGATTAATTATATTGACTGTATTAAAGGTATGAGACTAATTGAAAAAAAATAATTTATATAACATTAAGTGATGAAATTGAAACATAAAAAATAAGTGATGTTTGAACCGCGTGAAATGTGTTGTACGGCAATTGCAGTGGTTCAAAAAAATTTCATCTCTGGTAAAAAAAATACCTTATATTTTTAAACAGATTGTACGGAACCCCAAAGAGACTTAAACATTGTTTTCCGTAAGCGATTCTGATTTTTTATGTCTGCCCGCCATTACGAAGATACACTTGTACGCACGGGCATAGAATTTCCCAATTCTGTTTTGTAGACAGAGATTTTGAAGTTGGTTTTCTAAACTCAATTTCATGCTACTGCTACTGGACACAGCATAGCTTTTATGTGCTCTCTCTCTCTCTCTCTCTCTCTCTTCTCTTTCCTTTATCAGCAACTAAATAAAAAAGAAAATTTTAGTAAAGTCAAACAGAGATGTGAAAGATCGAGATATCAAAACCAAAAATGCCATCAGCTGATAAAAAAATTTTTCATCCTCCACTAATTGAAAACACAAATTTTATCGTAATTTTAATAATGTTTACTTGTCAATTTACCGAAAAATTTAATTTGTTAACAAAATTCAGTTTACATAATCTATCTTCTCAACATGAGGCCTTGTTCAAAATTAAAATGCATGATAAGTGAACTTGTCATGCAAGGACGAAACCAGCTTCAGGTTTCAGTGAGGGCCAAAATTGGGTTCTGAAGTTACCCTCTCACCCTCCCATCCTCTGCATTGCAAAGCCTTCCATACTCACAAAAATCAGTGTAAATGCATATTAAAATATCATGCAAATTCAAGCCCTAATTCAGCTTTTTGAAGGATTAAACACCTCAAGCATTAATTGAAGGATTGTGATTTTTGGACTCAATAACACAACTCAAGCTTAAAAAAGGGCCCTACTAATTAAAAGAAAAGAGCTTTGACAGAAGGAATACTAGCTCTCAACAAAACTTAAAATCTTCATGACAAGAGAAGGATGATATATTATATATAACTATCAGATTTATTCCTTTTATTTAAAGATATAAAGTATTTTTTGATGAGTTAAGTGTTAAAAAATGTAAAATATTTTTAGTCTTTTAAAATATAATTATTATTTTTAAGTTTTATATTGATAAATGACTTTATTTTTATTTAAGTTGTTTAATAAAAATAAATGTAACAAATTTAAAAATAAATAATTATTTTGTTGAAGATGAAATTTATTAAAAATATTTAATATTTTTTATAGAGGGAGTACATCTCTTCAGAAAAAATACAAAAGTTGGGTAGCCAAGCCCTGACCCCTCCATAGACAATATAGGTATGTCCTTATTGTCATATCAGTAATATTTTTATTTATTAATATAGGCATGTCCCTGTTGTCATATCAGTAATATTTTTATTTATTAATTTATTATAGAGTAAAATTGTCAAATTTAATATGTACTCTCTCCAATACTATTTATAAATTATTTTTATCAATTTTATTAATATTAATATAATAAAAATATAAAAAATAAAATTTAGTAAAATTATAAATATAACTCTAAAAAATAAACCATAAATGTTATTTTTTATTCTTTTCTTACTTTTTAAGAATAATTTAGATATTTTATTTAAAGTAAAATATTACTATCAATGTAATAACTTATGAAATAGATCAATTTATCTTTTTAAAAAGTAATCAATAAAGTGAACCGAGGAAGAATGTAATAGATGAGTGATTATAACATAAGGTATAGTTATCAAAATCCTAAGTGAATTTGTCATCTCTGTAACGTTTATTTATTATCAATTTATTGGGAAAAAATTATTAATAAAGTTCACGGAAAAGGTTTGTTCCTATGACAAATTGATAAATAAAATCTATAGAAATGAAAATTTTAATTAAGATTTCAACAAATTCATTTGATATTATAATAGGTTGCTTATTTAAGTAATAATTAATCAAAATTTTAAAAATCAAGGATTTTTTTTTTAGACATTACTCCTTTCATTTAAAAATATAAGGTATTTTTAATCAAATTACACTTCTCAATAAGTATTTAATTATCTTTAAAAAATATCATCTTTTTATATTTATTTTTATTTAATAGGATGTTTAACTTTAAAGTAAATATAAAGTGATTTATTTATTTTTACAAAAAAAAAAGTGATTTATCTATTATGAGTACTTTTAAAAAAACAGAATAATTACACATTAAAATATTAAAAATATTTTATATTTTTTGAACATCTAACACTTTAAAAAACATCTTATATTTTTTAATATAAAGAGTAAATATTAAATTTTTTTTTTGGGGGGACGGATGAGCTAAATAAATGTTGAATTGATTTAAGAGACCCAATAATGAACGAGCGGTACCGGAGTACGTAAAAACCAGCGCGATTTGCAACCGACATGCATCCAAAACCATCTGTGTCCAGAGACCCAAATCCTTTATCATGATTTTAAACAGTTCAGCTACCACGATTGATCTCCCTCACGTCGCCGCCTGCTCTCTTGTGGATGTCCATTCATATTTCATACAATAAAAATTATCTTCACTCATGCTCCCTCTTGTTCATATTGAAGAAAGATAGTTAAGTTAATAAATTTTTAATTTTATTTTTAAATAATTTTTTTAAAATTTATATTATATTTTTATATAATTAATGAGTTTAAATAAAAATAATATTAAAAATGTAATTAATATCTCATATTATGTTTTATATAAAAATATTTTTAAAAAGTGTTTTATAATAAGGATAAGATTGAGAATTGAATAATTGAATTCAATGGTTGGCCCCAAAAAATATTTAATTGAATGGTCCGAGGGTTGGACACGTCTTGTACTATCCCTTCATATGTTAATAACGCCAATTTATTGTTGAAATTGACTTCAATATTCATCAAAAAATTTCTATTAACCATGCTATACTTGTTAATCTGTTTCTGGGAATAAAAGGAAAGGAACCTTGCCGATCAAAAGAAGCTATTGCACTACTTCCTTTTTAAATATAAAAAAATTTCAACTAACTCACATTTTAAGAAAATTAGTTAATCTTGATAATTATATCTAAAATTAAAGTGTTTGGACTAAAATATCCTTATAATTGTTAATGATTTACTTTCCCCTCTAATTTAATGATAGGATAAATTAGCCCTCTAGTCGAAAAAAAATCTTGTGCCTAAACAATATGGACCAAACTTTTAAAAATTTAGAAACATGATCAATTCACATGGATATATAAGAAGTTTATCATTAAAAAATTAAAAATTTACAAAAGATTTATTATTGATATACAACAATATATCATTAATAAATATAATAAATTAATTATAATGTAAAATATAATAAATATTAAGTTGTTTACCTAGTTTGATTGTACAACATAAGCTATATCTTCAAAAACTGTCTTTTTTTTTTAAGTTTTGGGTCGTTTACGTTTTCCCTAGTGTCCTGATGTAATTTGCCTTTTTATTGTAATGAATTTGATCCTTTCAAGAAAAAGAAATTTGTATTCTGTAAATTTACAAAATATATATATATATATATATAGAAATATTATTAGATATCAATTATTAAAAATTTAAATTGAAATAATGATAATTGGAACTATGATTATTTTAAAAAATTAATTTTAATGAAATATATAATAATTTATTCATTTATTCACGACTTTTGAAGTATAAATAATATATTTTTCTATAAAATAATGTTATTTATAGATAAATTAAACAATATTTTCTTAAGACATGGCACGATTATCGTTGAAAATTTTCAGACAAGTATCTCAGAGAGAGGGAGAGGGAGTAAGGACAAAGGAGTGATGTTTTTTTTTTTTTTTACTAATATGACCTTTTTTTCTTTTTAATTTCAATACAATTACTTGGAACTGGTGGTTAGGGAGATAAAAAAAATTATGGAAAATTTTTAAAATCATTATTATTTTTTCAATTACAGTACCATCTATGGATCGCAATAAAATTCTCTTTTGTTTTAGTGGCATCTCACACCTCATAAAAAGAAAGAGGTTGTGGATTCTATCTGTTGATTTAAAGGAAAAATATTCCTAGGTGTTTGTGGTGTGGGTGTGTGGTTGCATGTGTGTGGACCCCTCTTTTATATGAGGGAGGGTTATTTAGGATAGTAACATATATATATATATATATATATCACAATAAAATATAAAATTAACTATTTTAATTTTAAAAAAAACGCATGAAAGTAGAATATTGCGATACTTGCGTACCTAGCTACCCACCAAAAGGTTGTTGGATCATGTATTCACCAACTTGGATGGTGTGAGCTAACTAATTAGTTAGTCAGATTAAGAACTTTATTGCCTATCCTCAAAACGGTTTTATAGTTGATGTCCACTCTCACTTTTAAAACTTTAATGGGGTACTCACCTACAAAAAGTTTAGTCCACCTCATAAGAATTTAACTTATAATTCACAAAATGATAGGTTATTATCCCTTTCCATTAATATTTAATAGGATTAAATGGCAATTTGAATACTGAACTATAGATTCAGGAATGATCTAAGCCTTGAATTCATATTTAATATATTTTTAATATTGAATAATTAAATTTGATGTAATCTTTTCCCCACCATTAATTGGAAATTAAAATTTTTTTTTATAGTTAGTGGGGCCCATCATTTTTT